AACCGTGAATGGTGAGACGACACCTGACATGCTACATATACGATAACCGTGAATGGTGAGACGACACCTGACATGCTACATATACGATAACCGTGAATGGTGAGACGACACCTGACATGCTACACATACGATAACTATGAATGACGAGACAACACTGAAAATGGCTCATTGTAATTAGTGTTTTATTTAGGTTCACACTAACCTTCCCTAAACAAATTAACAGGCCAGTACAAGTGCTGAGGCAATGAATGGCTTTTTCTGTGATAACTGTAAATGCAAGCATGAGCATTCAGAAAATGTGGCTTTTTGAAAGCAGGTTAGCCAGCAAAGCAGCAAGCGGCTGCGTACACCACTGCCCAGAATAAGAAGTGGTTAAAATGCACTGACCTGGACGAGGGTCTGTCAGAGTACTGGCTGGCTCGAGAGCTGGGCCGCTCCGGCTGCTCCCTGTGCTGGTATCGCTCCGTGTCCCGGTAACCCAAGTTGGGTCCTTCATATCGGCCATAACGCGGATCATACCTTCGGTAGGGATCATCCTGCGTGCGATAGCTCTGCGTCAGAGGTAACTGGCACCCATTAACAAACAAGCAGCCTTTATCTCGCTGTAAACCTTGAACCCAAACTACATCGACGCTGTCGGTTTCCCTTTGCCAACTTGCAAGCTTTAGAGACAAACCAAGTCTGCCTCAGATGCTGTTTGTAAATGCATTCAATGGGAAGTACTTTATTTTACTTCCAAGACTAACAAGTAATACAAGAAGAAAACTACCTGGTAGTATGGTTGTGCTCTGGGGTCAGAGGGAGGGTACTGAGGGGGGTAAGGTGGTCTGCCATCCATGCACTCAGGATAGGCGCCCCCATAGTATCCTCCATACATGGGTCCAGGCATTGGCGGCATGCCCCCATATCCCGGAGGTCCACCCAGCACTGAAGGCGGCCTGGAGGAGTTGCCTGGCTGGGGAGGGTAAGGGGGTTGATGTGGTTCACCAGACCCTGGAGGGACAGTCCCAGGTGGCACAGAAACACCTGGTCCAGGTGGGGCCTGTCCCGGCATTGGGGGATGAGGATACTGGTTGACTGGTGCAGGAGGCTGAGAGGTTGGATTTGGAGGGGCACCACCTGCATTAAGGTTAGGCTGAGACTCGGGCCTGTGGGATGAGTCCAAGGCAGACAGCTGGGTACTAGTGGTGCCCCCCCCTGGCAGGACAGCAGAGTCAGTCAACTGCTGGGGCTGAGGCTCACTCTCCCCACTGCCTCCTTGCTGCGGGTCTTTGGTCACCTGTCGATAAAAACCTGCCGAGTTACTGACTGGCGTGACCGTCTTCAGTCCCGGTGCCGTGGATGGAGCTTGCTGGGAAACACCAGAAGGCACAGTACCTGCAGCGGGAGCCTTGTTTTGGTTGCTCTGAGGGAAAGACATCGCAAAATCGAGCAGCTCATAATTAGTAGGCTGTTTATGATTATCAGCAAGAGGCAGAGCTTGAGAATTAACAGGGGGAGCAGAGTGACTGGGACCCCCGAGAGGATCAGCTTGAGGAAGAGAGGAGTTACTTGGCCTGCCTGTGGATACCGCAGGGGGGTTATCTGGTTTTATGACCTGCCTGCTCTCTGGGGTTAAATTGAGAGGAGATGGATTTGGAGCAGGCCTGCAGTTGAAATTCCCAGAAGAGGTGACTGGTAAAGCAAAGTGCTCCAGATGGTTAGGAACCATCGGAGGACCTGTCGGCATTGTGTTCACACACATGTCTGAAGGCTGCTGTAAAGGCAGGTTTCTGACATCAACCCCGGGATTCGGTGACACTTCATTAGAGATGATTGAATGAGGATTATTTGGTGGAATTAGAGAGTAATTTGTTGAAGGGGGTGCAATCAAAACAGGCTGATTGGGGAATGATTCCGCGGGTGGGGTAGTAACGAGTAGAGAAGCATAGCCAACACTTGCCTGAGGATGCTTTGGATCAGCCTCAGCCAATTTTGGAGGGTTCTCAAGGTTCTCTGACGGGTGGTCGGGTCTTTCAGGGGGACAATGAACATGCTGTGGAACCTGCAGGTCTAGTGGGCCATCCTCAGGGGGCTGAATTACCTCAGCACTGGGCTGCTTTACTAACCCATGCACTGGCGGGGCAGCAGGGGCCAGCACAACGTTGGCATTTGCGATGGCCATCTCATTCTGTGCCCAAAGCGTGGTGGCGGGGCTCTCGCACTTAAGACGAGCTCCGTGTGAACGGGAAGAAGGCCTTTTCTCTGGAACCCCTGCACCCGGGTGCTGTGTGGAAGTCATGAAGATGTTCTCCAGGTTGTCCGGTGGCTGCTCCAGGTTGCCCAGAGAAGCATCTGGGACACCTATCCTTGGATGAGCACCACCTCCCTTCTCGGCTACCACTCGAGCTTGGTCGACCCCAAAGGGCCTGACGCCCACACTATGGGCATGGACAGGCTCAAAGGAACTGTTGGGGCTGGCCTGAAAGATTCCAGTGGGCTTCGGAGGACTTGGGGTCACAGGCTGAGAGAGCTGGCCATGGTTCATTTTAGCTGACGCACGTTGTTGTGCGCCCTCTCCAGCAGGCGAAGTGTCAATCTGCTCAAAGTAGCCAGCTGAAGAGTCCTCCAGGGGTTTGGCTACCTCTTGCTGGATGAAGGTGCCCACTACGCCCTGGGGGCGGCGAGCACCAGACATGCTCCCCTGGCTTACATTGCTGTAGCTGGATGACACACTCTCAGGCCTGACTGGGCCTGGTGCCAAATCCGGGGTCTCCAAATTTGGTCCACCCTCATAGTGCACACCACCATGGACAGCGGTATTTGCCTGCCCAGGAACAGTGTTTCCGCTAACATTCTGGGGCATTTTTTGTGGCTCGCTAGGAAGAACCTCTTGGTTAGGCACACATTCCAGGTTTTCCACGTGATCAAACTGTCTTTCATGTTTCGGAGTGCCGCTCACAAATCCACTGTCATTTGCACACGGAGCGGCAGGCTCAGCTGTAAATGGGCCACTGCGGTCTGCGGGCGTGCTCATACCCCCTCGCTGGGAGACCTCAGATCCAGCCGGGGACTGAACAAGAGGCATTTGAGGACTGGGGGGCAACATGTTCATCCCATAACCTACCCCAAAGGTATCCCCAACTGAAACACCATTGACTGCCTTCCCTTCTCCTGCAAGTGTTTCCTCATTTTCAACATCATTTTCTTTGAAAAAAAGTGAAACAGTGCCAGGATCTGCAACGTACGGCACCGGGCCTGAGGGGCCAGGCGGCGGCCCTGGCTGATCTTTTGTAGAGTTCGGTCGATTATCGCTCGAGCCCCCGCCCATCTGGTGATAAAAATGCTCTCGTGAGGGTTGGGTGAACCAAGGGTCAGGTGCTGTGCAGTTCCGACCAAAATAGTTGTGGGCCTGGAATTGAGAATTCTGGTTCTGGGTGACACCAGCGTTTCCCTCAGGTCTGTGGTACTCAGGCAGACCGGGTCCAGTGGGGATGCCTTGAGGACCACCAAAACCTGGCTGAGCTGAATATGCCTGTTTCTGGGCCAGAGAATAAGGAGAAGGAACAGCCTGAGTTGTATGAGGAGAAGAGGCTTGAGGGGGAGGAGCTATGGAAGGGCCATGGGGTGAAGGGACTGGGGGAGGGGCTTGCTGAGAAGGATCAGGAGGACAAACTGAGAGGGACGAACTGGAAGGCTGAGGTGCATTATCACTGGTGGGCTGGAAGTAGTTCTGGACTGAAGGGGGACGACTCCCGTGGTCAGACATCCACGGTGACGCTGCTGGCGGCATAACCAGGGGCTGGTACAACGCAGGTTCCGAAACCCCGGTGGGATATGGGTTTACACCCTGAGGTGGAGCTCCTGCTGCGACATAGGATCCATGTTCCTTGGTGTTCAAATAGCCTTCCTCTGCACTGGGGGCATTCGAAGTCGCGAGGCCAGGGAACTGCCCGGGCGGTGGGGCCGAGGATGCAACATTTCCTGGGACGAAGCTGTTGATTCCAGCCACCGTGGGCTGATGACCCTGGGCAACTTCCGGCAGATGATGTGCTTGTTGACCTGGGCCACCCGAATAGAATGGAGCAGGCGGTGGGGTTTGCACAGGTAGGTTACTGTTGGAGGTCGGATGGTGATTTCCCACAGGAGGGGGGGCGCCGGATGGGGCCTGTCTGCCAAATGCAAAGGGGTCAGTCATAGGCGGCACGGGCTGAGCCGGCCCCAGCATCCCACTGGGATTTCCTGGCTGCTTATGAGGTCGAGTCCTTCGAAAAGCATTGGGAATGCCCCCAATGGGAGGCGGTGCCCCGGCCCGAGGCGGAGGTTGCATCATAACACTTCACCGAAGTTGCAGTACCCTCACTCCAGAATTTAGCCTTTGGAGGGCTTGATTTTGAACTCAGCTGTGGGAACAGAAGAATGGCTAGTCAGTAATAATTAAGTATCACAGCAAGAGGCATACCAACTGAAAATATGGTTAACATCCTATGATGGGCCTTGCTGTAAAATACCACAGCTGTAGAAATGAGTGAAAATTGCAAGTTAATCAGATAAAAGCTCCCACTAAGCAACCAAATATAATGCTGGGTGACCATAAATGTGCAAACAAGGAGAGGTAATCCATGCCCTTCCTTTAAATAAAGAAGCAACAATACAGCACTTAAACAAGAAATAAGGAGGGACAGGTAAGTAGATTAGGGATTTCTATGCAAAGCACCTGTCAACAACAGGGTGTGAGTCCAACTTGGTTAGAGATTTTGCAAATAAACAAGCACTGACTTTGCAATACTAGACATCACAGTAATACCTAAATGACTGAATGCTCTTTTGCACCATAAGAGACTATCACCATGGGGAAATCACACGCTAAATCCAACAGAAACACCACCAAACAAGTCTACAAGATACGGCAGAACAATCTAAACATCTTATACCGCTAACTGCCTCATCACAGTCCCAAAGAGCTTAACGTCTCAAATAGCTATCCATCCATCCATTTTCTAAACTCGCTTCTTAATTGTAACACACATATCCGTAGTTAATCCTAAAATAAAATGCCACGAAAATCTAAAATTGACAACTTTAAGAAAAGAAGCCCGTTTACAGCGGCTACACGACATTACTGGCGCATACCTAAAATACGTACTTTAATAATAGATAACCAATCTGTGTCGATGCCCGGACAGCGGGCTCGGGTGCGGGGCGGCTGGGGCTTGCCTGCGCCGCGCTGTCAGACACAGAGCCAGCGAAACGACGGCTGCGATTAAGCAGCAAAGCTAAGTGTGTCAGGAGCGCGTCGCCGGAGGAAGCTAACCCGACATTACACCGAACGCCTCAGGGACAGCACACGAAAAAGTAATCGGCGAAGTCCGGACCCAACCGGCGACGCAGCGAGCCGAACCGAGCCGAGCCGAGCCGAGAGGCCGCAGGCACCCGGCTGTCTTTACCGATAAGACGGGAAAGTCCGAAGCGGTCAGAAATCGATGATGTGTCACAGATCCGGTTTCCCAACAGGACGTTAGCGGCTGCATTTCGCTGAACCTCGCAGTCTAGTCTAGCCTAGCCTAGCCTCACCAGCCGCATATGCATATCCGAATAAACAAGCCAAAGAGCCAGCGCCATGCCCTGGCAGGAGCTTCCTGCCGCTAAAGCGTTAACATATTCCCGTGAACGTGAAAGCTTACCTTCAACTGACAAAACCCAACTCGCTACCAAGCGGGATTAAATGTAAGTTCTTACAAAAGAGCAGGACCGTGGAGCGGACACACGGCCGCCATATTCGGAAAGCACATCCTACTGGGCGACGTGTACCTGAGACGTCACCGCCCCAAACACAGGGCTTTTACTGTCATCTGCGTGTTTTTTACAATTTAACCTTTTTTCATTTAATCTCACACACTGGCTATTAAACTACAAAAATATCCGGTTTATATTGATTAAAATTAAATAAATGAATATTCTACAAAGTTCACTTTAAAGTGACCGGAAGTTGACCCACAAAAACGGAACACTGCCCTCTACAGGTTCAGACTGGCAGTGCAGGGTGAAAGAGCGAGTTTGCTCAGCTGCTTCTCTTGTTTCATGTGCGTGGTATTCATTTCAGTTTCCTCCTTGATTCATAACAAATTTTAACAAAGTTGTAGCTACACGTTTAGTTGCATGTCTGTATACTTAGAGTAATACTGCATTATGCAGGCTATTTGGTGAATCTTGACGTTGATGAGCGCAAGCAATGGGTGAATTCTAGGTAAATTATTAATTTAATTCCAGGCACTAGTGGAAATGGTGATGCCCGATCCACGTCCTGACCTCAGGCCCTGTCACAGAAAACGAAGTGCCTTTAAAGGAGTATGCATGTAATAAACAGAAGTTGATATAACTGGCAGTCAAATACTCATTTGCCGTATAAAGCGATACGCCTGGTAATTTCTTGTTGTACCTATTTTATGTGATTTGCACTGTTCTGACAAAAAAACAGCGCATGTTCACCTTTATACGGCGAATGTGCGCATAATGCGCAGCATAAATGTTTCTTGTAACTGCGCATAAAATAAGTACGATGTAGTTTTGTCAGTCCCTGTACATGAAGAGCCACACACAAATTAATTATTCATGAGCCAGAGCGGAATGCTGAAATAATAAAATAAATACACGATCCTGGTTAAGTTGGAAATCTGAAGCCTGAGCTCCTGGTAGGTGCTCTTTTGTCATACAGATCTGCCAGGGGGAGGCCCAGCAAACAGCAGCCCAACAAAGACCCCCCACTGACACTCCAAGGAGAACAATAATAGGAGGGAGGAGGGAGTCAGGCTTGGGGATGGTGTTCAGCAGCAAGCACCTCCTGGCTGGGCTCCCCACGAAACCCAGCTACGTGGAGCCATTTTGTGAACTCAGCACCCGCACGGTGAAAGGGGGCGCTCCAGTACAGTGCCATTTAGATGAGTGGGAAAGATCCAGACTGGTTTGATCTTGGCAGGGGACACTGGTTTTGGGACATGTTACCTCTCTGTCAGGGAACGAAGCCCGTGTCTGTGCTGTAGGTGGCACCCAGAGAGAGTCGCTCGACCTCCATCAGTGTGGACTTTGGTACCAGACTTCGCGATCAGAGTTCTCTCCTACTTGGCAGTCCCCCATAGTGTGAGAGCTCAAGAGCATGTGGTGATGTTCACAGTCCCTGGCTGGGGGCTCTGCAATCACAACTTTCATGCATCCTTGGCACAACAATGAACTTGTGCTGGGGGGGTGTTGCCCCACCAGGATCTCCAGCACGCACTGCACTGATTCAACGCTGTGTCGGGCAGCCAGGTTCAGAACCAGCACCTTGAAATAGAACTCCATGTTTTAGTCTTTATCCATGTCAGCACTCTGTATTTCAGCAAACAACATTTGTGAAGAAACAGTTAAGCTTTTAAACTGTTATTTACATGGTCGGCTCTCAAGGGACCTGGTCCAGGGATGTTGGACTGTGTGGAGGCCCTGGGGCAGCCCCAGGACATGCTGGAGGGATTATATCTGCCTGGGAATGTCCAGAAATCCCCCAAAGGAGCTTGACTCTGTGGCAGTGGAGAAGGATGTCTGGTGTGATCTGCTAGTCTTGCTGCCACAGTGAGCCCCACAGGGAGAAGGTGTATGAATGGTTGTTTGGGTGATACTTTGTTTACATCGTTGCTACTATGAATAATATATAATATTAATATATAATATATGGTGGTTGTTGATATGATAAATGAAAGGCATGATTGGTTTAATTTCTGATTTTGATATATTTGTGTTATTTTTGGAATGTGGCAATTTGGTGCAGTGGTCAGTACTGTTGTCTCACACCTCTAGGACCTGGATTTGAATCTCCACCATGGCTCCATGTGTATGGAGTTTGCATGTTCTCCCCATCGTGGGGTCTTCACTCCACAGTTCCACAAGAGAGAAGTTGGATGGATGCTGTGTTTGAGCACTGCATGGTGCCTCTGTGGATGACTGTTGTTTCACAATTGGGGGTTTGAGTCCCAACTGTATTAGGTGTGTGGCATGTTTGTACCCTATGGGCTTCCTCTGGATGCATAAGTTTCCACCCACAGTCCATAGACATGCACACTGTTAAGCTGTCTGGTATCTAAACTGCCAATAGAGTATGATTGTACATGTTTGTGCCCTGCGATGAACTGGAATCCCATCCAGTGTGTATTCCAGCATTGTGCCCTATGCTGGGATAGGTAGGGGTGTAGGAACTGAGGGGTGTGAACCCCCCTCCCCCATATTTAATTTGGCTTCATTATCCCCCCTAATAAATAGACCTTAAGTTCTGTCCAAATAAGTTATGTGCAGTTAGAACAGAAAGCATCGGATCGTACTGCGACGAGAACTCAACTGTCACGCCAGTTTTTTTTTTTTTTTGCCAGCAGAGGGCACTATAGGGTTGAAACGTCCATCTATCCGTCTTCTATACCTGTTTATGCAGTCAGTGGTTGGGGCAGAAGGCAAGTACAGTGGACCCTCGAGTTACTGATATACGAACAACTTGAGTTATGACCAAAATTTTAGTTTTGACTTACGACCAAAGTCTTGAGTTACGACCCGAATGCCAGTCGAGGACAAAACGTGTATCCGCTTGTGCGGCTGTAAACGAAGAGCCGAGATGTCTGAGTGGCTTCTGTAAGCTAGTGTCACTGAAGGTGTTACTCGAACTAGTAAGTCACGATCAACAGAGTTAGACGAGGTAGAAAGGATATTATTAGTGTGGTTAAACGAAATGTATATGGCAGGTGATAGCCTATCTGAGTCTATAATTTGTGAAAAAAGCTAGGCTATAAATGCAGGTCGCATGAAGTATAAGCCATCAACGAGTGATAATGGTGAAATTTCGTGCCAGTAAGGGGTGGTTTTACAATTTTAAATCGACAACTGGAGTTCATAGTGTTGCTAGGCATGGTCAAGCAGCCATGGCTGATAAAAGGGCTGCGAAAATGACACAGAGAAATGGTGAGTACAGTAAGAAATAGTTGTTTCTGGTAGGCTAGGCACATATCTTATAACTTTTTGGTGAGTACACTAGTGGTTTACATCCATGTTTCGGTGCACGTAACCACGGTTATGATTTGTAATTTTAGTCACTGTGGTCTCTGCTTTTAGACCAGCCTTGTGAAAAATAGTGTACTAAAGTATATACTTAAAAATACACTTAGCACAAAAAATATACTTTCAGCAAAGTGTATTAAGTGTATTATATCACTAAAAAAATGTACCTTTTTAAAGTACATGGGGGCAGCCCATGGCTCAGTGGGCTGTGCCTGTGATCAGAAGGTCGCCGGTTCAAACCCGGCCTCAGCACGTCTGCGGGTCCTTGAGCAAAGCCCTTAACCTCCAGCTCCCTGGGCGCCGCTACAGGTGGCTGTCCTTTGCAGCCAGCTTACTCTTCCCTACAAAAGAGCAAATTGGGGCAGGCATAAAGAGAATTTCCTCCCAGGCATCAATAAAAGTATCGATTATTAATACAGATATACGTTTATTCGAGTATGCTTTAGTGTACTGTACTTAATTATGTTTAAATGCAGAGTATATTTTCTAAAAGTACACAAAAGTATAATGTCAGTGTATTTTTTAAAAATATGTGTAAAGCGAATGCATTTTTATTACACTTCTAGTGATCAAAGCACACTGTTAATGCACTAATTTTTCACAAGGGCAAAAATGGACATAAATGCATTATCTGTGTGAGCCTCACAGACATTACAGTTGCAGCCAGTCAATAGCTAGTTCATGCTTTGCAGGTTGTTCCCAAGTTTGATAAGGGAAAACCAGACATGGCTAACGCCCCGCCGTCATATGGGACAGGCATGCGGGAGCATTTTGGTTTCTCGATAATTTATGACAGAGACGGTAAGGGAGTCATCTGCAGACATGGCCTCGTGTGTTTCCTGTGCTGACGGCAGCATAGCGGGTAGGAGCGCCCATCGCAGTGCTGTGGCTGAAAGAGGCGGGTAGATATAACGCTGTAACGAAAGCAGCGGGAAGTTTTATAGCGAAGGGTTTGCAACTGAACCCCCACTGACTATGTCGCTATACATTTGACCTATGGGTCCATCAGCTTACCGCTTGCTTGATTTTTTTCTTGTCAGCATTAATATCTCACTACGGCTGCAGGAGTTTACATTATTTGCAGCTCTATTCATATATTATTAATATTATAGGGTGGCTCTTTTTGTTAAAATTTACATTTTCAACTAGTTCAACCTATTACTTAGAGAAAATGCATTTAGAAAATGTACTTGAAACTGAGTAAATTGAATTTTTTATACATTGAATACAAACCGCACCGAATCAAAACTCTTTATCTGTGATAGAATGCGAACCCAGAGCTGTTTGCACCAATGCATCTCTGGTGTACATATGTTTATATCATCATTTAGGTAAAATACAATGTCATTCTGATACAAACTTTACATTATTGCACTTGTGCCTTAGTGGGAACTACTTTGTGTTGAGTTACCTCTACTGTCCCTACATTATTTTGTGACTGGTATTTTTTAATTCTGTGGTGTCTTTTTAATGTATGAGGATATTTTAAAACAAAGATTCTCCCTCAATTTCTCAACTCCAACCAGTCAAGTTATTGTCATGTAGGCCTGTAATTCCCCTTAAATTTAATTTCTTTGTCAAGAATCGTGCTGCTTTTCTAAATAGAAAATTATGATCTCAGCTCCATATAGCTGAGGGAGTTTGGGCATGCCGGCTGTTTGTCCAAGGCTTGCTGCGCCAAATGTCCCGTGGGGCTTTTTTCAACAGCAAATTTACACCAGCCCCCCCATTATACAACCCTGGCCAATCAAGTTAAATGACATCTTGTGCAGTTTTATTCAGAGACAACTTCTTAGGTGAAATGCTTTTATCTGAGGCAAAATATGTTATATTAGCAGATATCAAAACAGAAATCAAATCAGAATGCTGTTCAAACGTAGGTATCAGTTATGTGCTTCAAAGCTCACTGTCGGAGCCGGTCACTGATTGGCTGAACCGAATATGCTGATGGGGAGGTTGGTGTTGGCGGAATTGGATCCAAGCTAAAGAATTATTACCTAGGAAAGATAAAAGCCTGAACTTCTGGGCCGTTAGACCTGTCAGAAATTAGGAGAAATTCTTCTGCTTTCTTTGAACGAGGGTGCCAGTCTTTATGTGTTGGCCTGGTCCCAGGGCTGGAGAACCCATTTTGTGGCCTGAGCAGAGGTTATGCTAGAGATTTTGTGCCCTCAGCCCAGACCAATCTAATTATGTTACACATTTTTATGGGCCCCTGTCCATGGAATCATCATAACTTTCTCCTGTATCAGAGCCCCTGGCCATGAGTGACTAGAAATTGATTTTCTTCTCCCATATCCTAGTGCTCCTGCCAGCACCCACTGATATGTGCCAACGCAGGGCTCCCAGTATTTACGGAAAAGTACCAGACCCATTTGTGTCTTCCATCCTTACTAATGGCCTGACATTTTCCGTACTGCGGATAGCGTGTGAGTACCCGGGTCGCACGCTGGGGCGTGTCCAGCGTGGTGGGGATTTGAGGAATTGGAGTGCTAACGTCAGTCAATAAAGGCCAGGAGTATATGGAAACGATGCAAAACAAGCAGGGCAAAGTGACATTTCGGCTGCCCACCAGCCAAAACAAACAAAAACATACATTTGAGCACAGATTTCAGACTCCTTTGCCCCCCCTCCCCCATTCGATAGTAGTCATTTTTATGGCCTGTTTGTCTTCTGACTGACTGACCTGAACGTGGCTGACACACAAGTCCCCGCTTAAGTACCTTCTCCTGATATACGCAGATGAGCGCGTCCATGCAGGCCGTCCACCACAGCCATCGACAAGCTTGTATCTGCCTGTCCTCCCCTGAGAGGTTCACTTTCCCATGACGTGTGGGAGTAAATACCAAGCACTGAGATCCCATCTGCGTAGAGAATATAAAGAACAAGCTCTCTGACTTCCTGTATATTGCTGTGATGTGTCATGGGAGGAAGAGAAACCTTTTGTCAAGATTTAATGACAGGTCTGAAGAAAATTATAATGGTATAGAGCTTTGCTGGCCACACCAAACACCGGTGATTCATTTTGGGCTAATTGTGGAAGCCAGTTGGCGACGAAAGGTTTAATCCAGAGCTGGAATTGATATGCCAACCAGCCAGGTCCTGCTTTTTCTGTGTTGCTCTGGACTTTGGTGTTCTCAAGAGCTTGAGGCTGCCCTTAGAGGGAAAACAGGAGGCCTCTCCAGAAGATCACTGCTGCGGGGGCCGACCAGGAAGGATCACATTAGGCAAGTTATAGAATAGTGATACTGGATTAATCCCCATGGGGAAATTCTCTTTACCCCCTCTTGCTGTCCTTAAGACACACATGCAACTGACGTTAAGCATGAAGATCACAGCAAACGGTCAACCACCTTGCAGCACCCTGGGAGCTGGGGCATTAAGGGCCTTGTTCACAGACGTGTGACTGTTCTGCCGAGGCTGTGGCTCACACCAGCGAGCTTCTGATTACAGGCAGAGAGGCTTAGCCCGCTAAGCCTTACACCATGGTGACTGTTGCCATGTTTCAGAAGAGAAGCCATCAGAAACAGATCTGTATTTGTTAAACGATCTGAAATCGGGAAAGACCTCAGCTGTAGTGTGGATTGGATGGGAAAAGTCCTTTTTGCAGGGAAAAACTTGCTGTACTGCAGATTCAAGATTCTTTATTGACCATGTGCAACAGGTGCGTTAGGATGCTTAGCCATTTAGCCAAACAACACAAGACAAATATGGGCAAAACAATATAGGCAGTGCAGAGCAATACAAGGGCAGATACATAACAATGCAAGTGGTGCATAACAACACAAGATAGAACATGACAATGCAGAACTGGATGACATGTGGGCAGTGGATAAAGGGCAGTAACAGATATATAAATTGCATGTGTCGTGGGTATGACATTCTCACCCTTCGACTGACCACCTAGGCCAGCTGTTTTTTGTCATTTTAGCCGCATTTCATGAGTGGCCGGTGACACCTACAAGAACAGAAATAATAGATCTGTCCTCCACTGCCACCTCTGCTGCCTCTCCGCAGTGCAGTCAGCAGTCGATTCCCATTGTCTCATGTCTTGAAGTTCATCTGTCATGAAGGAATCCACCAGCACAACAGAAAGTCTTTCACAGGCCCGCCTTGCTTCGCGTGGCTTTTGGCCACTGCGGATCCCATGCTCTCAGACACGGCCCCAGCCTGACCTGCAGCCTGACCTGCAGCCTGACCTGCAGCCTGACCTGCAGCCTGACCTGCAGCCTGACCTGCAGCCTGACCTGCAGCCTGACCTGTTTTGTGTAGAAACTTCTGAAACAATGAGATGGAGATAAGGACTGCCTGCCTGGAACAGAGAGAGCGGGTCCTTTTAGCGCAGTGAAAAGTAAAAAAATGGCTGCGAAAAAAAGGAATGGGTGGAGATTCATGTATGACGAATGCACCCAATAAAAGCTCTTCAGTTTTCGGTGCTTTTTTCCAACCAAGGACCCTAGCAGAGAATAGGTCAAAGCTTCAGATTGAACATTAATAATAAAGCTAATAATTTTATCTAATCTGAAGACAAATATACATATATCTAGCATTTTTTTTGGAATTATAATCAAAGGCTCAACTGCCTTTGTGTGACTATCCAATATCATCCAGAAGTTTAATGAGTAAAGAATCTTTGCTCATTTATACAGCCATACGTTTTACTGTTCTGCCGTGCTTCAAGTAAACTCTCCTGTACTATTGTAACCTGGAAGCAGCGTATGACAACGTCTCTGAGGCCGCTGGCTGTAATGAGGGGAAAAGACGCACATCAGACACGACCTTGCTGACTGAGGGTGACAATAAGCAGCAGTGTAGTAACGTGGCCTACAGCATCCAAAATGTCGGCAGTAGGTTGAGCAGGTGCACGGCTGTGGGCCCCGTGGGCGACATTGTTACATATGCACACTCCAGACGCACAAGCTCTTTGCTGACATATGAGCCTCTGCTGTACAGTTGCTCAATGACATTGTGTTCCTTACTTTGTAGCTGGATGCCAAAGAGGACTGTGCTTTGTTCCCTTTAAGATGATGCTGTTCAGGCTTTGGAGAAGAAGACAAAGCTCTTCCCTCCAGGACCATGCAAGCCGCGGCAGGCCGTCTGGGTGCATGTCTCACCCTCATGGGCACTAAGGAGGATCCTGCCCTGGCTTGCCCCACGGGCCCCGGGGGGTGGGAGGGGGGGGGCGAGAAGCGTGAGGTGTTGAGCTGGAAAAACGTGAGTTTCGGTGAGCGTGTCGGTGCAGGCGTCTGATACGGCTGATTGTGGGAACCTGAAAAGTGCACGTGCTGGTAATGGAGGGGGGGGGGGGGGGGGGGGGGGGGGGGGGGGGGGCAGGGACGCGGGGCACACCGCCTCCCATTGGTCAGGTGAGCAGGTGCTGACCACACCCTGCTTCTGCTGGGTGCAAGGAAACCACCATCAATGCCAAGATGAGTGGCGTACAGATCTCTGATTACAGCTATCAGAACGTCACTTGCAGAGTTTACACAACACGAGGCGAGATTGTATCTTAGCTCTTGGTTAGTGGTTTTTGAGAAGTTTTTTTTTTTTGACAGACAGTTCCCACTCACTATCTGTCTAATTGTTTGCATGAATATCCAAGACCATAGATCCTGGGAAGAAGAATTAGTACCAAGTCCCAGGCTGGAAGAGTGGGTCTGTGGGGGGGGGGGGAGAAATGCACTATGTGCTGTTTGTATCCAAAGGTCAACATTTGTGCCCCGTATTCACATTACAGACAATGGTGTCAACCAAATTCAGAGCTTCAGTATGTTTCTGCATAAAAGCAAAGCAGTGGGTCTTTCTTTAGCTGGGATAGATAGAGTGCAAAATGAAATCGAGATTTGGAGTGTTTTTTTTTTACCCTGTTTGGTTATTTATGCAGGGGTGGTATGTTTGTGGCTGGGGATGAGGTTTTGAAAAGTGTGAACAAAAAGATTATTCAACTATATTTCAGCAATACTGTATGTATTTTCTGCATCTATAGATATAATTTAAGATCAGATGGATGCTTTTGGGGAAATCAGCAAGGAGAAGACAAGCCTCCATTTATCTGTTTATATAATGATCCCTCAGCAGGTCGTTTCCAGTTTGAATGCATTGAAAAACTTTCACATTTTAAATGAATAGAGATTTACATTATGGAATATAAGCTTAAAGCAACTAAAGGCTGATAAAAACAATGAAAACCTTTAAAGAAAAGGTTCATTATACAGTGCAGTATTTTCAACTGCCTTTCATTGTGTAGAATTGAATGTATATAATATCAAAATTCAGATAATAAATTCTGTCCGTGTTCAGTTTAAAATTGAAGTGGACTTCTGGCGAGCATATAGACTGCTTTCATTCAGAATGTCTTCTAACTAAGAAAGTGCCAGTTAAACACTCTAAGAAATCACATCACCTGAATAGGCATCATCTTTTTTGGGACATACCTGTTTGCTGTTATGTTCTTGGTGTGTTTCAGGGATATTTTCTGCAAATAGGTTAGAACTCAGTCCCCATGTAACTCAGTGTTGCTGAAAATCACTTCATAGGACCTGGAGCAGGCTTCACAGAGACACCAAATGTTTGGGTAAGAATATTATTTCCTAGAAATTCATTCATTTCCCTATTTGTCAAAGAGATGGTATATATTTGACATCATGGATATTATATGGTATTTGATATCGTCTCGCTAATAGGGGGCCTTTGGTTGTTGCAGCCCAGCTGCCTCTCCTGTGATTCTGGCCCCTTCAGAGGTGCTCAGGAATTTAGGTGCTTCGAGCTCAGGCTGCGCTTTCAGCGGCCATCAGCCCCGAGGCAGCGTCTGTTTCTTCACGTCCTCCAGGGTTCTCTGGTGCAAAAGGCGTTCAGTCTCCGGCAAGGCTGTTGGGTGAGAACCTTCATTATCTAGAACCACCAAGCAGATGATGAATAGATTAAAAACCAGTAGAGGACTGACAGCCCACACACAATTATCTTTGCACCACCGTATAAGAACCAGGCAATGATTATCATTCATGAAAATTCACACTATGGGTGGGGATCGTCAAGCAATGAAATTCGTCATGGTACATTTGTTAGCATTTTCCAGCACAGCTGTTTTCTGCAGTTAGCTTTCTTTATCAGTTTCAATATGGCAGATCTAAAAAAGACAGGAAAGAAAGGAGTGTAAATACATGATTCTCAAATATACCATCCATCCATCCATCCATCCGTCCATCCACCCTGTCAACAGGGCACATGGCTGGGCTCTATGCTGGCTGGGATGTGCTTATATGATTTATAAGTAGAGTGACATATTAAAATAAATACATCAAAATGTATTATATAAACATCCATTTATTTCTGGATATAGTCATGAATAAACAATCCATCCATCTTATTCAGTACAGGGTAATGGGAGGGACTAGAACCGCAGCCAGGCGACCAGGCACAAGGCATGGGGATGCATTGGATGGGATGCCAGCTCACCACAGGGTAAACACATTCAAACACAACAATTTAAAGACAGAATTAGATTAAACTCTTTGGACTGCAGGAGAAGTCCGCACAGAGAATGCACACGTATTGCACACACACAGCAGAGCAGGGATTGAAGCCCTCAATGCAGAAAGTACACGCCGAAGGAAATAGGACTGCCAAAATGATATCTGCACTTCTTACATATTTTCATATTTCTCTTGCACTATGGTAAATTTTAGGAAACCAAATTAATTTTGAAATCAAAGCAATCAAAACAGAGACCTGAAATCAGAAAAGTTACACTTTAAGTTATTTAACGCAATCGTGAAGATGAAAAAAAAAAAAGATCTTTTTTTTTCCAGAGGGAAGATGAAATTTGTCAGGGAATGCTGGAAGATGAAAGGTTTTGAAAGACAGCTGTGTCTGTACAACAGGGAGGAATGGATCTTTAACGCGAAGAGCCTGGATTCCACGTGGCGGCCTGTTGTTTGCTAGCTCCGCCTCCGGGCTTTGGGCTGGAGGCGGTCGGTAGGCCCGGGGTGGCGTACGTGCCTGGGCTGGAAACCATGCAGGTAACGGAAAAACAGCAAAACACAGCAGCTTCTTTTAAAGCAAAACAGCCAGCCGCGCCGACCAATCAGAACACAGTGATTCCTTTACTGCCTGACTGCTATGGAATTCTTGGAATGAAGGTTCCTATAGAGATCCTTATTCTCCATTTGTTATGAAACATCTAAATATTACTTAATCACTAGAGTGTTTCTTTGACGTCTTCCTGTGACATCCGTCTCTGGCTTAGTTGGATAGGACGCTGTGTCTGTAATCAGATGGTTGTCGATTTCAGTCCGATGATCAGCAGAGTGATGTCACCATTGGGCCCTGAGCGTGGCTATTAACCCTAATGTCTCCGGCGACTGTCTCACCCTGCCTTCTCAATTATATATCTCTTTGGATAAAGGCATCTGTTAAATTAACAACAAAATGTATCTCTCTAATCTCTAATTACTGTAATTCTATGTATCTTGGCAGGATAATTTATTAAAACTGAGGAATGCATATATACCCTGGTTACTTTGATATGTTTGAGATTAATACATTTCACACAATTCACATTTCAGGACAATGGTGGTACTTTGCTGGATGCTGTGAGTATCCCACATTTTATTACTTTTTGATTATATGGTAATTCCAACAAAGCCAGCATTTCATTCATCTATCTGTGGGTGAAAATGATTAGTAACTCTATCTTTGAGCTGGAATCCGGGGAATGGAGGCGACCGAAGATCATCCATGCTTAGAAGTAGCTTGTTCATGTCAAAAAGCATCCAGCGCATTATTATTAATACAGCTATGAGTTGCTTTGTTATTTTTTAAAGAGTCAGCTTTTCAAGATGAACATTTCCTGACACGTTGCTGTATTTTCCGTCAAGAAAAAAAACCACCCTGGAACATTGGCGGAGTTGCCAGATCGTGACCTTCTGGACTGCTACAATCTGAGCAATATTGCTGTGGACAAAGCGGGACTAGAAATCTGCTACCGGTAAATGTGCACAAAGGTTGGCGGCTTAGTGGAATTAAATCACTGCATTAATATATATATATATATATATATATATATTGCTAGCAGGTGGACGAGCCAGTGGTGTAGGACAGGACAAAACAGACGGCAGGCAGAAGCAGGTGACACACTAGAGGTCTTCAGGTTACATGGTACCTGAGCAGAGGTTTAGGTATCTGTGGAGTTCTGCAATGCCGCATGTCAGTAAGATATTTACTGGCTGATAGCATCAGCATGTCTGTGTGGAAAGTGATTATCCGTGCCTTGTAGTTCTGGGAAGATGCAGTTGATTTTTATGGCCTTCAATGAATGTTTATTAATATGAAACTCCGTTTGAAGAACCCTTTGGGTTTTTCTGACCAGTAACAACAGATGGATTTTTTTGCATCTGCATGGCCCTCCCTTACAGCTTCTGCCAGTCATTCAGATCGAGTAGCTTGTTGTGATCATGTGGGGCATGAGATTCAGAGATAAGTCCCTCCTATCGCTTGTAACTCATCATGTAAACTTGTCAGATGCAACCTATTGTTTTAAAAACCACAGATATAAGACTTTATAATTTTATAAACTATATACAAATTATATTATATATGTCGTAATTTTTAATACGTTTTTGGAACTGATCAAAGATTAACCTTACTCGACTTGCCAGGAGGTTACGGTAATAGATACTTTGGCCAGCTGTGTTTCTATATAAGAAATCTCTGTAGAAATGCTTAAAATTACCCATATTCCTGTAGTGAACAAGCAAAGTAAAGGGATGTAACTTGGCCAGTAAAAGTGCAATGACTGGAATATGTATAGGAGAGCATCTAGAAATAGCTCAACTCACTGTATAAACTAGAGCGCTCACCATTGGTCTGCGTGCCGACATCATGTGCAGCGGCAGCCAGCCATTGGCCTGCGCGCCGACATCGTGTGCAGCGGCAGCCCGCCATTGGCCTGCGCGCCGACATCGTGTGCAGCGGCAACCCGCCAACCAGTGTGCGAAATACCCGTCAATATTCGGGGGGGTCCCCATCTCCCTATTGTTGCGCAATACCGATCTTGAGACCCCCTTAAAATTTTGCTTTTGAGGCTTTCAGGGGGTCTCATGGGTTATTCGGGGGTGTCGGACCCCCCCCGGACCCCTCTGTATTTCGCACACTGCCGCCAACACCTGCTCAGTTCTCTGTCTGTGCAACTCCACTGCCTCTGGTACTGTAAGGGGGAATCTGGCCAGTTAGTATGGTCATGGAATGTCAGGTCGGGGCCTGTCCGCTCTTCCTGGAAGCGCCATTGTTACAGCGGTTTGATAAATGTGATGAGTTTGCTCTATGCAGGTGCGGGGGGCGGAGGCAGGTGGGGGGGGGGGCATGCCCCCACCGGAATGTGGGGTCCTCTCCTTTGTCCAGAGACCTTGAGAAAGAAGCATTTAACTTCATTCCGTGCGCTTGGCGCCAAAATTCCTGGGAAGCAACATGGGGTGTGGAGGATGATGGGGCCGCGTGAAAACACCCTGACCCGAGAGGTTTGTCTCGTGCCAAAGCACCCCTATCGGCCTCACATTCACCAGTGTGGCCCGCGAAAGCCGGGTCTCAGAGTGTGGGAACACTAAGGGACCTCCCTGTACACTGGAGGAAGTCAGCTACAGGAGATGGCAACGCTACACACAATAATGCCAACTGTGTGCGTGTTCAGTGCCATGCAGAATGCGTGAAAACGTGTTTGGAGGATGCAGCTGTTAAGTTTCTGATTAGCAGTGAAGCCTGTTTGGTGCTTTGAGCGGACGGTGAAATGAGTGTTTAATATAAGCTGAAGTGGGTCTCCCCGCCCTGCCTGCCCCCAGGTCAGGAGCATCGTAGCCATTAAACTCTCACTGCTGCAGTACCCAGACACCAATGATGCACGTATAACGTGTCCCGTCTTGTTAACAGTCTGAAGTGGTTTATTATATTCATTTTGAAATGTGTTCATGCTGGTAGCATACATTACCAGTCAAGGTCATTTTAGTTCAATTTTTAAATAAGTTTTGATTTTACTGCATTTTCATCCTGTTTCAGCCAAATTTTGTTTTACACCATTTTTCTTTCAGTTTGTATCTTTACTGAGCTTCAGAATTTAGTTTTGATTTCACTCCCTAAAAAGAATCCCTCAGGAGAATACTCTGACCAGAGGGGTGGTCTGGATGCCAGTTCAGTATAACCATAAAATGTATATATATAACACTTTTCTCATTCACGTTGTTGAAGAGCAGAATGTCCGCCCTAACAGCACCCTGCAGAAGAAAGGCCAGCGTTTTACAGTGCCTGCCTGTCACAGATTCCGTGTTTTACCCTTTACAGGAGCATATTAACTCCTACGGTTGCTGGCAGTGAAACATTCCAAGCAGATTAGCGGAATGACGTTACATCGTTTTTTGTTTTTTTTCCATGGAAAATGGAAGATCGATCTGCAGGCCAGATTTCATAATGAATTTGCAACACGTTGTCGGCTGCCACTTTGTGACCTCTTCTAAGTGGCGAATGAGCCAACAGAATCCCTCATCCTCCACTATGGAAAAAGTCTGATCATCCAATGCCGTCTTCTCTATTGTTGTAGTAGTTGTGTCTTTAGCTCTGGTGCTGCTGACTTTGAATAATGATAAAGTTTAAATATCAGCCAAGATGAACAAATTGGTCTAATGTCAATATCTTCAATTGTAATTAATATGGACCAATACCGATATTTTAAACTCATCTTGAGCATCTCTAAGTTTTTGTCATTTTCACTGGTATTTCCCCATCCCTAACGTAATTTCTTTGCCTGAAACACAGTTTAATCTTGTGAGGGTATACGTAATTTTCCCCATTTGAGATGCTTATCGTGGGCTACGTTCACTGTCGATTACTTAGAGGAGGGATGTTTGGCAGCCAGTGTAGGCTGCTAGCCTAGAGGCAGAAACTCGGAAATCGAAACCAGACATGTTCTACTCATTATTTTATTTCAGTTAATTTTTGGAGTTTGTCATTTTAATTTCAATTTAGTTTTTGTGTCCCACGCTGATAGTTTTGTTTTAAGTTTGATTATGGAAATGCTTTTGTTATCGCTCTCGTTTGAGTATTCATTAATGATAAGAAAACATGGAGACACACGGCGTGGGCTGGTTGTCTTCATGATTGGCTTTCTGTGGTTCGAAGCCGGCACTAACTGAAAGGCATTTTCTAAATCTTGCAGGACGCAGCTCTCGGAGCTGCTGTGTAGAGTTTAAACCATGTTAAGAGAAACATAGGGAAGCAGCCCATTGGCTGGGCCCTACACAATAGGCGTGGCTATTGGATTACTGCTGTGAGGGTTAAACCAGAGCAGATATTTTACCCACACGCCCACACGATGTTTACTCTGGACTGCTCTCCCCACAAGCCAAAGACATCATCATAGCTAACATTTCTTAGGTAATCGGTAAACTGAGAACCACCAGTACGTCAGTAGAGAGGTACTTCAGACTGTCCTCATGAGCCAGAGCTGGTGCTGTTTATATAAGTGTGCGGAGGCGGTCGCTCCAGAGCAGCAGATCAGACATCCAAGTAGAGGACAGTGAGACACGGAAAGCTGGCCGTCTCCAGGTGGGGACACGCTCCCGGTTGTCCTGATGAGCCTCTCAGCAAATCCTTAGGTTAGGTCTCTGGGATGGGTCTTTTTCCATTGTGGCCTTTCTGGGCTCCTGTCCACCCATCTTTGTTTTCACAGCTGAGGACAGTGCTTGGGCCTGGACACTGCGTACACCGGTCACCTTCCAGTGGGAAAAAGTTGCTGGGAAAGATTCACCGTAAAGAAAAAAGGGGAACGCAGAAGCAGAGACATAACACGGGAAATATCTGCTCACGCCGTTAGATTTCTGTGGCAGGCGTCCAGCATGGACAATGACTGTGGAAATGTCAATGCTCCTTTCTGTGTGTGCGTGGCAAAAGATGAAGGGCAGCCCGGCTATTGTCATTCAGTTTCTGCCGTTGCGTTAAATTGAACCACAAGTGCATTTAGGGGAAGTTTCAAGAGGTCAAAAGAAACGCAAAAGAGCTTCGTCAAAGAACGAGGAATGTTTGCCTTCAGCTGGCACGCAGGATGCACGGGGAATTGAAGGTGTTCTGCCCAGAATTCAACAGGGACTTAAATTCTCGCTTTACAGAGAACAGCCACTGGATTTCACACACAATAATGTGTGTAGGGTTGCAGGTGTATGTTCAGAACGGATATAATATACTTATTACACTTAAATATTCTTGCTGTACATCCCAAGGGATGTGTTTGTGTTTGGAGGCCCGACAGACTGTGCCAGTAGGGGACAGCGTTGTCATGATTTAGCAGCGAGTTCTTGAGATTGGATGAAGATGGTTTGGCTCCTGTTTTCTGCCTTGCTGACAAAAATCAGCAAACAGGATGTTCTCCGTACAGTTAGTTATCGCATA